CGCATGTTGTACGCGAGTTCGTTTTCCTATTTGTTTTCTGAATTCGATTGGTTCTGCTCATTTCAGAATGGTGATCTCTCTACAGCGTGGGCCTCATTGTCGGATCGGCGGTGTGCTTCCGTCGTCCAGAATGGCCCTCCCGCCCCAACATTCTGGATCTCGCAGGCCTCGCAGGTCCCACAGGTCTCTCAAGTCTCGCAGGCCCCACAAGTACCACAGGTCCCACAGGACCCACAAGTGCCGCAACTCGTCCCACATGTCCCGTAGGTGCTACTGGTCTGACAGGCTCCGCATGCCCACAGGTCTCATCGGTACTACCGGTCTGACAGGTTCCACAGGCCCACAGGTCCCACAATTGTCGCAAGTCTCGCATGCCCGCCAGGTCCCACAGGTCTCGCAGGTCCCAGAGGTGTCGCATGCCTCACGGGTCCACAGACGTCCCCCAAGTCCCGCAGGTCCTGCCAGTGCCACGGGTTCCACAGCTCCCACTGGCTCCCACAAGTCCCACTGGTCCCATACGTGTCGCAGGTCCCACAGGCCCCTGGGCCACAGAGGTCCCCCAGGTCGCACAGGGCCAACAAGTTTCCCGTTTTCCGCCTGCGCATGACACGATGGGGGTCTTTTGTGGAGCTCCAGGTCGGTTTTGACACGCGTGCGCGGATATACAACAAAAATCAGCGCCATGGGAAGGAATTGGAGGGTGGGGCAGGATGTCAGATCTGAGGCGCGAGCGCGCTCAGCTTGCCCTCCTCCCCCCTCTTGCGCAGGCTGAAGGGCGCGCTGGTGGGGCCTGTGTCAGGGGAGCGAACAACGACATAAGCATAAAAACTCGGAGGTCCGCGCGGATTTCTTGGATCCGCGCTGGACGCCCCTCCCTGGCGCGCGGAGCGCGCCAGGGGCGGCGCTGGAGGCGCCGCCAGGGGGAGCCCAGCGCGGATCCAAGAAATCCGCGCGGAGCGCCAACAGTTTATGTTTATGGCGTTTTGTCATTCTTCGATGAAGGGCTGCGCGCTGCCTGGCCCGTGGGAGAGGAAACTCGCCCCCGCCCCTCCTCCTCCTCCTCCTCCTCCTCCTCCTGCTCCTGCTCCTCCTCCTCCTCCTCCTCCTCCTCCTGCTCCTGCTCCTCCTCCTCCTCCTCCTCCTCCTTCTGCTCCTCCTCCTCCTCCTCCTCCTCCTCCTCCGCCTCCTCCTCCTCCGCCTCCGCCTCCTCCTGCGTGCGTGGTGCGACGGGATGAACTCTGCCATCCGGGCGGCTTGCCTCGCGGGCTCTCCATGGACCCGCTGCCGCGGGCCATCGCCGCACACGGCGGCCTCCGCGTCGAGAGGCGGCCCCCCCCCCCCGGGGAAGGGGCCGGGAGCCGTGGGGGGCTGCGGGCGGGGAGAGAGAGGCCGGCGCTCCGTGTGCCGAGGGGTAGCTGTGGAGGAGGAGGAGGAGGAGGAGGAGGAGGAGGAGGAGGAGGAGGAGGAGGGGGAGGAGGAGGAGGAGGAGGAGGACGAGAGGGAGGAGGTGGAAGAGGCCCCCCCACGGTGCCGGTGGTGGGTCCCGCGTCCCCGACCCTACGGGGCCCCGAGATCCAAGGAGGTGGAAAACGTCAAGACGGAGATTCTTCGCAGGCTTCGGCCTCCCGGGGGCCCTCGCCTGGCCCCGGGAGAGCGTCAAGAGAACGACTCAGGATGAGGAGCTGGTCCTGGGGAATCGGCCGAGACTTCTGGGGACCCCGTGCTGAAGAAATCACGACATCGGATCTCTGGGTCCAACGTCCCCGACCTGCGAGACAAGCGGGAGGCCCGAGGCGGCGCGTAAGGTCGCGCCGTTGTCTGAGGTGTGCGGTGCGAGGAGGCGTGCGGGCCGCGGCCAGTGCTGGCCTGTCGTGTCGGGTGCCTCCCGGCCTCGAAGGGCTGCGGGCAGGCTGCGTGAGGGGCGCGGGATTCGTGCGAGCCACGTGCGCTGCTGCCTGTCGCTCCGCATGCCTCTGGTTTTGAGCCTCGCGTGGGTGGTCCCCTGCGTGCTCTTCGGAGCCGTCTTGGCATGGCTCGTCCGTTGCTGCCTCGTCTTCCCCCCGAGGCATCGTGCTCGGTCTCGATCGGCATCGAGTGGGACAGCGTCGTCCCACTCGGCTTGTCAGCTTGCCCTCCCAGCTCCTCCTGCTGTGTGGCCGAGGCGCCTCCGTCTCTGCCCCCGCGCCGACCGCCTATGGCCCACTCGCAGGCGCACGACTGCGTGGGAGGAGCTCTTCGGCCTCTTCCCGCAGCGGGGGACCGAGCAGCAAGCCTCTCGCCCGAACAGCGTTTTCAAAGCGAATGCGCGGCCACTGGAATCTCACAAGCTTTTCGAGTGTCCTCCCAACTCCTCCCCCTCCTCCTCCTCCTCCTCCTCCTCCTCCTCCTCCTCCTGCTCCTCCTCCTCCTCCCCTCCCCCTCCTCTCCTGCTCTCTCCTCCTCCTCCTCCTCCCTCTCTCCTCCTCCTGCTCGTCCTCCTCCTCCTTCTCCTGCTCCTGCTCCTGCCCTCCTCCTCCTCCTCCTCCTCCTCCTCCTCCTCTTCCTCCTCCTCCTCCTCCTCCTCCTCCTCCTGCTCCTCCTCCTCCTCCTCTCCTCCTCCTCCTCCTCCTCCTCCTCCTCCTCCTCCTCCCTCTTCTCCTTCTCTCCTCGTCCTCCTCCGTCTTGCTTCCCCCCCTCCTCCTCCTCCTCCTCTTGCTGGCTGCTTGTCCTGCTGCCTCCCCGGTCCGCCGCTGCGGCGCTCGGCCCCTTCGCTCGTCGCCCCTCCCCCCCGCGCGGGGCCTCGCGCGTCGACATCTTCTCGAAGATGCCGTCGCAGGCGAGGAGCAAGAACTCCGTGTCCAACGCGACCTCTCTGCGGGGCTGCGGCCGCGGGCGAGGGAGGAGGAGGAGGAGGAGGAGGAGGAGGAGGAGGAGGAGGAGGAGGAGGAGGAGGAGGAGGAGGAGGAGGAGGAGGAGGAGGAGGAGGAGGAGGAGGCCCACGCCGGAGCACGCCCAGAGCTCAACGCCGGCGTGAGCCTCCGGCACCGCGCGGACCACTCGCCGGCCTTCGGCGGTCGCAGCTCCAGATAGCGTGGGCCGCTCGATGTCGGCCGATGCGGGGCTTCGCTGGTCGTGGAAGGATCCACGACTCGATGGGGCCGCTGGAAAGCTCCCTGGAGGAGGAGGAGGAGGAGGAGGAGGAGGAGGAGGAGGAGGAGGAGGAGGAGGAGGAGGAGGAGAAGGAAGGAGAAGGAGGAGGAGGAGGAGGAGGAGGAGGAGGAGGAGGAGGAGGAGAAGGGAGGAGGGAGGAGGAGCAGGAGGAGGAGAGGGAGGAGAGGGGAGGAGCAGGAGGAGGAGAGGGAGGAGAGGGGAGGTGGAGGAGGCAGGATTCGAAGGGAGGTGGAGGATGAGGGGCATCCCGACCGTGTCGGTCGTTGGGCGATCGCGGATTTCCGATGGGCGCAAGGTCGTTCGACATCGGGCCACTGTCGGGGCTCAAGCTCGAACGCCCGCGCTGGGGATCGCCGCCGGAGGAGGGTCATCCGAACAATAGGAAAGGGGTGCGTGCGACGGCGAGGACCTTCACCCCTCCCTGCTGTCCATCCAACATCCCAGGCAACCCTCCTCGTCGTCGTCCTCCTCCTCCTCCTCCTCCTCCTCCTCCTCTTCCTTCGCTTCGCGGTAGTGGGCCGCACGTCGATGCCATGCAGCCCCGAAAGGCAACAAACTCAAAACCGAACCAGGAATCTTAAACAACTGCTGCTCCCCGAAGTATGACTCCGAGACGCCTTCCGCCGATTTCGCTTCCCGCGAAACGGCTGCTTTGAGGCGCCCCGCACGGGTCGCCCATGCATGCAGCCCTCCTCGTCCTCCTCGTCGTCCTCCTCCTCCTGCTCTTCCTCCTCCTCCTCCTCTTTCTGGTGCTCCCCTCCTTCTGCCCCTCCCTCTCTCCCTCCCCCTCCTCCTCCCGCCCCTCCTCCTCCTCCCGCCCCTCCCACTTCGCCTCGTCTTTGCCCTCCTGCTCTCCTCGCCCGCCTGCTGCTGCTGCGCCCCGTCCTGCGGCTGCTGCTGCTCAGACGCCAACCAGCCAGGAATCCATCCATACGTCCAGCAAATAAGATCCAGGCAACGCCGCTCACCTTCCTGCTCCTCCTCCTCCTCCTCCTCCTGCTGCTCCTCCTCCTGCTGCTCCTCCTCCTCATCCTCCCCCTCCTCCTCCCCCTCCTCCACCGCCTCCTCCTCCTCCTCTTTCTCCTCCTCCCTCCTCCTCCTGCTCCCTCTTCTTCTTCTTTCTGCCTCCTCCTCCTCCTCCTCCTCCTCCTCCTCCTCCTCCGCCTACCCCCCCCCCCCGCTGGTCAACACGGGAGGGTGCCACGGATGCAAAGAATGCCAGCCCCCAGGCAACACGACGGGAAATCCCACAGGCATCGCTCCCCCCCCGCGCGGCGCCAACCATGTAATTAGACTGTGCGCTTGCGCCTCTGCCCCATCCTGGGAACCTCGCTCTCGACGGCCAGCTCCACGGACGTGAACACGTGTGCCGGGCCCGAGCTGGACCGAGGCGCAGGATCGGATCGGGTCGCAAACGCATCGGGCCGCGCCCGACTCGGCACGACACCGAATCGGGATCTGTCCACTCGGAATCTCGCGGAGCGGGCTCGGCCCCCGGCGGGCCGCAGCCTTCGCTCGCGCTCACTGGCCCCCGCGCTGCAGGAGAGACGGCGTGGGCCTCCAGCCTCGCCTCCAGAGTCTCGCGGAGCAGCACCAGGACCCGCCGCCACTGCCCGCACTTCTCGCACGCGCTGGTCCCAGCGCTGCAATTGGTGACGCTGGGCTCGAAGCGGCGCCATCGCCCGCTGCCACTTGACTTTTTCGAAAGCGCTGTCTCTGGCATTGTAGCGGATGACTTTGGGCCCCGGATTCGCCAACTACATCTCGCTGAGCAGCGTTTGAGCCCGCTGCCCCCATTCGCCTGGTTCCGCACGCGCCATTGCCAGCGGTGTAGCTGAGGACGTTCGGCTTCAACTCTGCGTCCCACCTCTAGCTGAGCCACGCCCGAGCCCTAATCGCAGCTTTGAAGTTGACGACGGCGAGCTCCAATTTCGCCTTCCGCATTTCCCTGAGCGCTGCCACTGGTCGCCCTTCCCGCGCGCGTTGATCCCAGCGCTGCAGCTAATAACGTCGGGCTTCAGTTTTGCTTCCCACGTCGCGCAGAGCAGCGACAAGGCCTGCTGCGACTGCTTGCCCTGCTCGCACGTGCTGATTCCGTCGCGGTAATAAAGATGCCGCTGGGCTCTCCGCAGCATCGCGAAATTAGCTGCCTTCGCTGACGACATTCTTTACATGCACACGGGCTTGGCGTTAGAATACGGATTGCGCTATTCCGCTACGATCAGGCCGCACATCTCCCTCGTCAACGACTGCACCATCTTCTTTTGCCCGCCATGCTCGCACATGCTGGCTACAATCCCATAGACGAACAAGTCCGGGTACAGTTTCATCTGGCGGATGTCTCTTAGCAGAGACAGGGCCCTCTGCCACTGCTTGCCTTTCTGGCACGCGCTGATCGCAGCATTGTAGCTGACTAGGGCTGACCCGTGGACTACGTCCACTTGCGGGGTGAAGGGGTGCTGCCGCAAGGCGAGCAGGATGAATGGCGTCATGTTTGCCTGCCACATGTCGCTGAACTGCGGGGGGGCGCCAGGTAGCGCTGCTCGCCCGTCTGGGAGCCCCCAACGAGCCCCCAACGACACCGACGACGGCGGCGACGACGACGACGACGACGGCGACGACAACGACGGCGGCGGCGGCGACCACGGGCTGCAAGGCTAGGCTGGCCCGATTCAGGGCCACCGGCCCGCCGGCCCAGAGTCGGCGGTGCCGATTCGGGGCGCCCCCCGGCACGCAGCCCCAGAGTCCTGCCCCTCGCTCCCAGTGCCGCGCGCGCCTCTGGAGCCACCCAGCCGCTTCTGGGCCCCCGACCCGCCGGCCCAGCATCGGCGGGGCCGACTCCGGCCCGCCCGGCGGGCCCTGGGGCCGCCGCGCGCCTCCGGGGTCGGCCGGGACGATTCTGGGCCGCAGGCCCGCCAGCCCAGAAGCGGCGGGACCAATTCTGGGCCGCCGCGCCACCAGCCAAGAATCCCGCCCAGCGCGCCCTGGGCCAATTCTCGCGCCTCCGGGGCCGGCCTGCCCGTTTCTGGGCCAGCAGCCCGCCAGCCCAGAATCGGCGGGACCGATTCTGGGCCACCGCGCCGCCGCCCCAGAATCCCGCCCGCCGCGCCCTGGGCGGCCGCGCGCGCTTCCGGGGCCAGCCTACCCGTTTCTGGGCCAGCAGCCCGCCAGCCCAGAATCGGCGGGACCGATTCTGGGCCACCGCGCCGCCGCCCCAGAATCCCGCCCGCCGCGCCCTGGGCGGCCGCGCGCGCTTCCGGGGTCGGCTGGGGCGATTCCACCGGCCCAGAATCGGCGGACCGATTCTGGGCCGCCGCGCCAGCCCTGAAATCCGCCCGGCGCATCCCGGGACGGTGCGCAGGGCGGTCCTCGCCGATTCTGGGCCACCGGCCCGCTGGCCCAGAATCGGCTAGGTGATAGTGGCCGTCCCATGGTGCTTCTTGGGCCGTGATCTTGGGGCCTCTGTGGCTCGTTTGGGAGCCTCTCGGCGCTTCTTCTCGGCCTCCTGGAAACCTCCTGGGGCCCTCTTGGGCTGTCTCGGGTGCCGCTTGGGCCATGTGGAGGCCGTGTGGGAGGCCGTCCGGGGCCGTCTGGGGGTTGTCTGGGGCCGTCTTGGGCGCTTCTGTGGCCGTCTGGAGCGCCTCTTGGGCCGTTCTGAGGTCGTCTTGGGCTGTCTTGGGGCCCTCATGGGGGCATCTTAGGGCGATCTTGGGGGCCTCTCGCTCTTGGGGGGCTGGTTTGGGAGCCTATTGGGCCGCCATGGGCGCCTCGGGAGCCGCGCTGGGGCCGTTTTGAAACGTTTTGGGGCCGCTAGGGGCCCTTGGGCCGTCTCTGGGGCCGCCATGGGCGCCTCAAGAGACGTGGTGGGGCCGTTTTGAAGCGTTTTGGGGGCTCTGGGGGCCCTCTTGGGCCGTCTTGGTTGCCTTTCGGGTGGTTGTTTTGGGGCCGTCTGGGCCCGTCTTGGGCACCTTTTGGGCCGTCCTGGGCGCCTCTTGGGCCGTCCCGGTGTCGTCTGGGGCCGCCTGGGGCCCTCATGGGGGAATCTTAAGACGATATTGGGGCCTCTATGCCCGTCGAGGACGCGTTGGAAGCGAAAAGCGCGAGAATGCCCAACATATGCGTTGCCCGGAGGGAATGGGGCGATTTTGGCCTCTTGGGTCTCTCCTGGAGGCCTCTGGGGCCATCCTGGAGCCAGCTTGGGGTCCCCTGGGGGCGCCCGGGCGCCCTCTCGACCGTCCTCTTGGGGCCATTATTGGGCGCTCTCGGGGCTGTCTTGGGTGCCTCTTGGCCCGTCTCGGGCGCCTCTGGAGCCGTCCCAAGGGCGTCTCGGGACCCTCCTAGGGGGCGTCTGGGGTCGACCTTGCGGGCCTGTACAGCCGTCTTGGAGACTGTGCAGACGAAAAGAGCTGACATAGGACAAGCCAACGGTTTCCGAAAGGAATGACGCGATTTTTGCCTCTTGGGCTCTGCTGGGGGTCCTCCTGGGCCGTTTCGTAAGCCTCCTGGCCTGCCTTGGAGGCCTCTGGGGCCATCCTGGAGCTAGCTTGGGGTCCTCTGGGGGCGTCTGGGCGCCCTCTTGAACGTCTCTGAGTCTTCTTGGGGCCGTCTTGGGGCATCTTGGGACCGCCCAGAGCCGTCCCGGAGCGCTCGGGGGACTCGCAGGGCGCCCCGGAGGGCCCAGGAAGCCTTTCGGGACAAAAACCTTCTCGCACGAAAAGGCCCCTGCATTGCACAAGGGATGCCGTTGGGCTCCAGCTTCGCCTCCCGCATCTTGCTCAGCAGCGCCAGCGCCCGCTGCCACTGCTCGCCCTTCTCGCACGCGCTGATCCCAGCGTTGTAGCTGATGACTAGAGCTGACCCGTGGACTTACGTCCACGACAGCTTGTAGTGGTATAGTCAGGGGCTGCCTGACCTCTGAGCCCTAGGAGGCGCATCGGACCCCCTAGGGAAATGGTAAATTGCTCAGGGCGGACGCTATTGTCGCCCTCACAGCGCACTGATTACCTGGAGCGCGAAACTACACAGGGCAGGCCAGGTGGGACGTATTGTCCCCTACCGGCACAATGATGCTACATAGGAAGTGTAGTTCACAAGAATAAACTTGTGCAACCATTTGCTCCTTTTGTGAAATGTTCACAAGGCCTGTTGGAGCCGCCGCGGCCTATGCTTCACAAGAGCGCACCTTGTGAAATGTTGCCTAGCCACGCCGCAGAGAGAAAGGAGACAAAGATGGTCCCCGCCTCAAGACAAAATGTCGACGAGGACTATACAAAGGGTCAGCTGTAAAGACGAAAAAGGTGATCCCTAACTGCACAAGGAAGTTCGAAAGGCATGCAAGTCAGTAGACGAGCGTGTTGACGTCGATTTGCGCATCACGAATCCGCTGCCGATGACGCCGCCGGAGCCTGAGCAGCGCAAGCCTGGGACACGATCCACAGACCAGGGTTTCTCAGTGGGTCTCTCACCCCCGCACTGAGGTGGTCTACACCCTCAGTGGGTCTCTCACCCCCGCACTGAGACGTCCGCCAGGCCTCGAAACCTGGAGCGCCGAAACGCCGAGTCCATCCAGACAGACATCCCGGACGTCACTGCCAGCATGCTGGCAGGCCTGGCGGTCGCAACTGACCCTCGGCCGCACGCCGCGGCAGCGGGGATGGCCGCCAGCCGGCCGCGGGCAATGCAGCGGCTGCTTGTTTCCTGCTGCTAGCTACTAATTGCTACCGCTGCTGGCTTGCGTGCTGCCGGATATGGAGGCCGTGCTGGGGGCCCTATGGCCGAAACTATTGGGGGCCTCGTTGGGTCCTCTTGGGGCCGTCCTGGGCCGTCTCGGGGTTCTCTGGGGGTCTGTTGGGCCGTCGTGGCGATCTCTGGAGGGCGTATCGGGCCGTCTGGAAGCTCTCCGAATCCTTCTTTATATCCTGGGAGCCCTCTGGGGCCGCCCTTGGGCTCTCTTCAGGAAGTCAAAGACCGCCCAGAGGGCCCTAAGACGGCCCGAAGACGGCCCGAGACGGCCCAAGGAGGCTCCGAAAACAACCCAGAAGGCTCGATGGGGGCCCCCAGAGGGCCCAAGGTGGCCCGCAAGGAGGCCAAGAGACTCCCCCGAAGCCGTCTTGGAGCGGTCTCGCGTCGAAAAGCCTGCGAAGCAAAAGACATACATCTTCCTTTGGGTGTTGGGAAACTTGGGCAGTTGCCGTGGTCTTCTGGACAATTCCTGCAAGGCCTCTTGGGGAGTCTAGGGGCCTTTTGGACGCCTCTTGGAACCGCTTGAGATCTCTCGGGGGCTCTGTCTGGCGGCTGTCGGGGCCAATTCTGGCCATCTCGGACATTACCGAAGGCTGTCTCTGCGACGTACCCAGAACCCACAGGGACCCGGAGGCAGTGCCGACGCCGCTGGAGGCCGAGAAAGCGATTGGCCCACGCACTTCTCCCAGGCTTGAAAGGATGATGATAGCTTCGAGCTCCAGTTTCAGAGTTTTTGACGTTGCGGCTCGCTCTCGGGAACCTCGGGTTGAAGAGCTTACTGTGTCACCGTTCGCTCTTGGGATGGGAGCCTTGGGTTGAAAAGCGTTCTACTGTACCGATCGCTCTTTTATTTTGCGTCTGTGCGCCTTCTCAGTGGTCCTTATGGGGGACTTTTTGGGGCTCTTCAGGGGCCGTTTTGGGCCGTTCTGTGGCCGTTTTGGAACGTCTTGGGGCCCGTTCGGGCCGTCACGGGGCGTCTTGGAGGCCTTGGACCGTCTTGGGGTTCTCTGGAGGGCTTCCTGTGGCACTCTTGGGAGCCTCGGCGGCCCTCTTGGAGCCCTCTCAAGCCGTTTGAGGGCCTCCTCGGGCCGTCTTTGGGCCCTCTGGCAGCGTCTTGGGGCTCTCTTGCTTGGGGGCCGCTTGGGTCGTCCTGGGGGGTTTTGGAGGGCCTCTTGGCCTGTCCTGGACCGTGTAATAACTCAAAAGGCGGAAATGCTGAAGATGTACGTTTTCCGTTCGGAACGTGACCATGTTTGCCTCTTTGGCGTCCTCTCGGGGCCCTCTCGGAGTGTCTTTGGGGCCTCTTGGACCGTCTTGGAGCCACCTTCTGAGGTCGTGGGCGCCTTGGAGGCCTTGGACCGTCTTGGGGCTCTCTGGAGGGCTTCCTGTGGCCCTCTTGGGAGTCTCGTCGGGCCCTCCTGGAGCCCTCTTGGGGCCGTCTTGGAGCCCTCTCAGGCCGTTTGAGGGTCCCCTTGGGCTGTCTTTGTGCCTCTTGCAGCGCCTTGGGGCTCTCTTGGGAGCCGCTTGGGTCGTCTTGGGGGGTTTTGGAGGGCCTCTTGGCCTGTCCTGGACCGTGCAATGACTCAAAAGGCTGAAATGCTGAAGATGTACGTTTTCCGTTCCGAATGTGACCATGTTTGCCTCTTTGGCGTCCTCTCGGGGCCCTCTCGGAGTGTCTTTGGGGCCTCTTGGACAGTCTTGGAGCCATCTTCTGAGGTCTTTGGGGCGCCTTGGAGGCCTTGGGTCGTCTTGGGGCTCTCTGGAGGGCTTCCTGTGGCCTTCTTGGGAGCCTCGTCGGGCCATCTTGGAGCCCCCTTGGGGCCGTCTTGGAGCCCTCTCAGGCCGTTTGAGGGCCCCCTCGGGCCGTCTTTGGGCCCTCTTGCAGCGTCTTGGGGCTCTCTTGGGGGAAACCTCTTGGTCTGTCCTGGGCAGTGCAGCCACGCAAAAAAGCGGATACAACGAACATGTGCGTTTCCCCTTCGGAATCTGACACTGTTTGCCTCTTTGGCGTCCTCTCGGGGCCCTCTCGGAGCGTCTTTGGGGCCTCTTGGACCGTCTTGGAGCCACCTTCTGATGTCTTTTGGGCTTTCTGGGGCCCTCTTGGGGGCCTCTTCGGGCCCTCTTGGGGCCGCCTTGGGGCCCTCTCGAGCCGTTTGAGGGCTCCTTGGGCGATGTTTGGGCCCTCCTTGGACCGCCTGGGGACCCTCTTCGGGGCCGCTTGGGCCGTCGTAGGGGGGTTTTGGGGGGCCGCTCGGTCTGCCCTGGACCGTGCAGCAGCGCAAGAGGCGGACATGCTGAGCATGTACGTTTTCCCATCAAGATGTGACGACGTTTGGCTCTTTGGCGTCCTCTCGGGGCCAAACGGAACGTCTTTGGGACCCCTTGGACCGTCTTGCAGCCCCCTTCGGGGGTCTTTGGAGCGTCAAGGCCCGTCTCGGCACCAGCTGAGGCCGTCTTGGAGCGCTCTTGGACCGTCTTACAACCCCTCTGGGGCGCCTCTTGCGCCGTCGAGGGCGATTCGACCACGTGGTGGGGCCGTGAGGTGTGATTTTATGCACTTGGGTGCCCACCTTTCTGGCACGCGCTTCCGCCCGCCATGTAGGATAGACTAGGGCTGACCCGAGGACTCCGTCCACGAGCTCTGCACGAATTGGCATGTCGTGGTGGACATGCTGCCACAAGGCCTGACATGATGACGTGGGGCTCGAACTTCGAATTCCGCGCATGCTACTGCGTGCTGCCGCTTGCTGCCGCTTGCTGCCGCTGCTGCGTGCTGTGGGCAATGCTTACCTTTGCTGCGTGCTGTTGCTTCTTGCCTTCGGGGGATAATTGGGGCGTCTTGGGCCGCCCCAGGATGATTTCGAGCCGCCTTGAGGCGGGCAGGGAGCGCCAAGCAAGTGTCAAGGAAGCCGAAGAGCCCCATGCGGAGTCCGGGTACGGAGTCAGGAACTGGGTCGAGATGGCTCGTGGCACCGTTCACGCTTAGGAGACTTCATCTTCATCCTCCCCCTCCTCCTCCTCCTCCTCCTCCTCCTCCTCCTCATCATCATCCTCGTCATCATCCTCGTCATCATCCTCATCCTCATCCTCATCCTCATCCTCATCCTCATCCTCCTCCTCCTCCTCATCATCCTCATCATCCTCATCATCATCATCATCATCATCATCATCATCATCATCATCATCATCATCATGATCGTCATCGTCATCCTTATCATCACCATCGCCATAACCATCATTATCATCAAGCCAGCATCATCATCATCATCATCATCATCATCATCATCATCATCATCATCATCATCATCGTCGTCACATAATTTGGAGCGTCGGCCCAATACGGCCCGAGACGGCCCCAATGTTGCTCCAAGATCGTCCAAGACGTTTCGAAGATGGCACCATAATGGCCCAAGAGGCCCCCAGGAGGGCTGCAACAGCGAAACACGTCAGGGCCCGAAGAGGCCCGGGAGAAGGCTCGTGACCGACCGAACGTACGAAGGATTTTGGGCCAAATCCGGCAGGGAGCGCCAAGCAAACGTCAGGGAGACCGAAGAGCCCCATGCGGAGCCTGGGCACGAAATCAGGAACTGGGTCGAGATGGCTCGTGGCACCGTTCACGCTTAGGAGACTTCATCATCATCCTCCCCCTCCTCCTCCTCCTCCTCCTCATCATCATCATCCTCGTCATCCTCCTCCTCATCCTCCTCCTCCTCCTCCTCCTCCTCATCATCATCATCGTCATCGTCATCGTCATCCTCATCCTCGTCCTCATCATCACCATCCTCATCCTCATCCTCATCCTTCTCCTCCTCCTCCTCCTTCTCATCATCATCATCATAATCAGCATCATCGTCGTAGCATCAGCATCATCGTCGTTATCGTCATCAGCATCATCATCGTCATCATCATCCTCCTCCTCGTCCTCCTCATAATCAGCGTTATTATCATCATCCTCGTCCTCATCCTCATCCTCATCCTCAGCATCATCATCATCATCATAATCATCAGCATCATCATCATCATCATCAGCATCGTCATCCTTATCCTCATCATCGTCATCCTCCTCATCATCATCATCATCATCATCATCGACAGCATCAGCATCAGCATCAGCATCATCATCAGCATCAGCATCAGCATCATCACCATCACCATCATCATCACCATCGTCATCAGCAGCATCATCATGATCATGATTATGATCCTGATCCTGATTCTGATCCTGATCCTGATCCTGATCCTGATCCTGATCATCATCATCATCATCATCATCATCATCATCATCATCATCATCATCATCATCATCATCATCATCATCATCATCATCATCACCACATCATTTGCAACGTCGGTCCAAAACGGCCCAATACGGCACAAGATCGCGTCAGACGCCTCCCCACATGGCCCCATATATCATTTGGGACGTCGGCCCCAAACAGCCCCAGACGGCCCACGATGGCATCAGACGCCTCCCAAATGGCCCCATGCTGGCCCAAGAAGCCCGGAGAGGGCTGCGAGAGCGAAAGACGGCATGGCCCCAAGAGGCCGCGGAGAGGGCTCCAGTCCGACAAAAAGAGCGAGGGGTTTGCAGGGAGCGCCAAACAAGCGTCAGGAGGGCCGAGGAGCCCCATGGTGCGCTTGGAGCCGTTTTGGGACCGTCTTCGGGCCGTCTTAGGCTGTCTTTGGCTGCTGTTGGTGCTGTCTTCGGTGCTTCTTGGGCCGTCATATTGGGGCCTCTGGGCGTCGTTTAGGAGCCTCTCAGCGCTTCTTTTCGGCCTCCTGGAAGCCTCCTGGGGCCCTCTTGGGCTGTCTCGGGTGCCTCCTGGGCCGTGTTGAGGCCGTCCGGGGGTTATCTGGGGCCGCCTTGGGCGTCTCTGGAGCAGTCTGGGGACCGACTGGGGGTCGTCTTGGGCCGTCCTGGGCCGCTCTTGAGGCTGTCGTGGGTACCCCGTGGACTGCCAGGGGCGCCTCAAAAGCAGTCCTGGGGCCATCTTGGGACCCTGTATGGCCGTCTTGGGCGCTATGCAGAGGGCAAGCCCGGGAACTGCGAAAATGCACGCCCGCCCCATGGAATGGGACGATTTTTCGGTGTTCGGGATCTCTTGGGGCACGTCGTGGAGCCCATTTGCAACGTTTTGGAATCTCCTTGGGCCGTTTGGAGGCTGTGTGAGGCGTTGTCGAGCCCTCTGGGCGCGTCTCGCAGACCCTCTTGGACCGTCTTCGGCCGTCTGGGGGCCCTGTTGGGGGCCTCCTGGTGCGTGTCAGAACGCTCTTGGGCCATCTTGGAAGCGCGCCGGGGCATGCTGGGGCTCGCAAGGGCCGCTTGGGGGGGCCAGTCCGCTACCACCGCTCTCACCATCCGTGAGCGCTGGGGCAGCCATTGTAGGAGAGATGACGTCGGGCTCCAGCTTCGCATCCCGCATCTCGCTCAACAGTGCCAGCGCCGGCTGCCACTGCTGGCCCTTCTCGCACGCGCTGATCCCAGCGTTGTAGCTGACTAGGGCGAACCCGTGGACTTCGTCCACGTCATCTTGGGCCAGTCTTGGCTCGAAAGGCCGTCTTGGGCCTGTCTTCGTTCGAAGGTGGAAATCTTTCAGAAACCATCGAAGAATCAATGAGTTCGTTTGCCGCGGCTCGTCTGGAGCGTCTTCGAGCGGTCTTGGGCCGTCTTGGAGGCCCTCTTGGACCGCTTCCTTCTTTTCGTCCGCCTTCCGCTCTACCTCCGCCTAGACAGCCTTCGGAGCGTCACAGACGGCTATGGTGGGTCTGCGGTGTACGTCTCGCCGCTGGTCAATTTTGAAAGCACATGGGGCCTTGAAAAAAATCACCCGGAGAGCTCTGGTGACTTTTTTTCCGGTTGCCTCTTCGAAACCTGATGGCGTTCGGTGCCGTCTCCTTGGAAAAGGTTAGTGGGCCTCTCGGGGTTTCTATACGAGCTCCTGGGGGCCTGTTGGGGCCTCGTTGGCCGTCTTGCGGCCTCCTAGGGACCTCTTGGGCCGTCTTGCGGCCTCCTGGGGGCCTTTTCTCTTGAACTTTTTTGGGGCGCCTGGGGCCGTTCCCGGGCTGTCCCCCCGAGCCTCTTCCGGGGGACAGCCCAGGAAATCTATTGTGCTGGCGTGCTGTGCGTGCGTGCTCCGATGTGAGAGGTCGGAAGGGTGTCCCGACGTCACCGCTCGCTCTTGGGAGCTGTGCCTGGGAGAGCTCTCTATGCTGCGTCTCGCTCTTGGGAGCCTTGGTGGCGTCTGTGGGCCTGTTTGGTGGTCCTTGTGGGGGTCTTTCTCGGGCCATTCGTTTTGGGGCCTTTTTGGGCCGTCACGGGGCGTCCTCAAGGCCTTGGACCGTCTTGGAGCTCTCTTCTCTTGAGGCTACCTGAGGCCGTCTTGGGAGCCTCTTGGGGCCCCCTGGGAGCTCTCTTGAGGCCGTCTTGGGGTTCTGTGAGGCCGTTTCAGGGCTCTCTGGCGTCGTCTTGGGGCTCTTGTGGGCCGTCTTGGAGCCCTCTTAGGGACTGCTGGCGTCATCTTGGGGCGATTTGGGAGGCCTCTTGGCGTGTCCTGGGCCGCTGAGGAGCACACAAGGCGGGCATGCTAAAATTATGCGTTTTCCTCTCGGAATTTGACGATTTGTCCCTCTTTGGCGTGCGCTCGGGGCCCTCCTGGGGCGTCTTTGCGGCCTCTTGGATCGTCGTGGAGCACCCCCGGAAGGCTTCGGGCCCTCGTGGGCCGTCTCGGGGCCCACTGAGGCCGTCTTGGAGCGTTCTTGGACGGTCTGGGACTTCTCTGGAGCGCCTCTGGAACCGGCCCCGTGGTGGCGCCGGAAAGGGGCGATTTTGTGCACACGAGGCCCTGTGAACCCTTCTCGCACGCAGATCCACCGGCCATGTAGGAGAGATGACGTCGGGTTCCAGCTTCGCCTCCCACGTCTCGCTCAACAGCGCCAGCGCCCGTTGCCACTGCCCGCCCTTCTTGCACGCGCTGATCCCAGCGCTGTAGCTGACTAGGGTGTACCCGTGGACTACGTCCACTTGCGAAGTGATGGGGCGCTGCCGTCAGGCGATCACGATGGATGGCGTCAGGTTCGCCTTCCACGTGTCGCCGGGCAGCTTGAGCGCCGCCTGATTGGGGAGCATGGGAGATGAGGAGGCTCGATCGGGCCATGTGCAAAACGCATTGGGAACGGAGGTGCGGTGGAGCAGCCGGGGGAGAAGCACATGTATGTCTTCCCATCCACCTCATTATCCTTCTGTTGCTCCTGTTCCTCCTCCTCCTCCTCCTCCGTTTTCGTCTCCTCCTCCTCCTCCTCCTCCTCCTCCTCCTCCTGTTCCTCCTCCTCCTCCTGCTCCTCGACATCCTCCTCCTCCTCCTCCTCCTCCTCCTCCTCCTCCTCCTCCTCCTCCTCATCTCCCTCATCCTTCTCAGTGCCCTCCTGATCATCCTCGTCCCCCTCATCCTGTCCCTCATCTTCCTCTTCATTCTCCTCTCCTTCGGGTTCTCCCGCCTGTCCCTCTGCAGCGTTGGAATGCAGCGCGACAACACCCTTCGGCAAAGCGTCAAAAAATGCGGTTGTGTCGAATGCGTCGGCAGGGCCCAGTCTCGCGGGGTCTTCCTAGGCCTCTCTCGGGGCTCTCTTCGGAGTTCCTGAGATCTTCTTGGGCTCCTTTGGGAAGCTCCTCGCGGCTTCAAGGCCGTCTCGGTAGGGGCCTCGAGGGCGCCAGGACGGAACCAAAAAGAGTTTCGTGGTGTTCGTTTTGAGGGGCGCTCAAAACGAACAGAGTGCGGCCTCTCGCGGGGTCTTCCTACGCCTCTGGGGGGGCTCTCTTCGACGTTCCTGAGATCTTCTTGGGCTCCTTTCGGGGGCTCCTCGCGGTTTCAAGGCCGTCTCGGGAGGGGCCTCGAGGGCGCCAGGACGGAACAAAACAGAGCTTCCAGGTGTTCGTTTTGAGGGGCGCTCAAAACGAACAGTGCCCAGCCCCTGGTGGGGCTTCCCAGGCCTCTCTCGGGCTCCCTTCGAAGCGTCTGAGATCGTCTTGGGCTCCTTTGGGAAGGTCCTCCCGGCTTCAAGGCCGTCTTGGTAGGGGCCTCGAGGGCGCCAGGACGGAACCAAAATGAGCTTCGAGATGTTCGTTTTGAGGGGCGCTCAAAACGAACAGTGCGTGGCCTCTCGCGGGGTCTTCCCAGGCCTCTCGGAGCTCTCTTCGAATTTCCTGAGATCTTCTTGGGCTCCTTTGGGTGGCTCCTCGCGGCTTCAAGGCCGTCTCGGTAGGGGCCTCTGGGGCGCTAGGACGGAACCAAAAAGAGTTTCGTGGTGTTCGTTTTGAGGGGCGCTCAAAACGAACAGAGCGCGGCCTCTCGCGGGGCCTTCCTACGTCTCTGGGGGGGCTCTCTTCGAGGCTCCTGAGATCTTCTTGGGCTCCTTTGGGAAGCTCCTCGCGGCTTCGAGGCCGTCTCGGTAGGGGCTGCGAGGGCGCCAGGACGGAACCAAAATGAGCTTCGAGGTGTTCGTTTAGAGGAGCGCTCAAAACGAACAGAGCCCAGCCCCTGGTGGGGTTTTCCCAGGCCTCTCTCGGGGCTCTCTTCGAAGCGTCTGAGATCTTCTTCGGCTCGTTTGGGGGGGCTCCTCGCGGCTTCAAGGCCGTCATGGTAGGGGCCTCGAGGGCGCCAGGACGGAAACAAACAGAGCTTCGAGGTGTTCGTTTTGAGGGGCGCTCAAAACGAACAGTGCCCAGCCCCTGGTGGGGCCTTCCCAGGCCTCTCTCGGGCTCTCTTCGAAGCGTCTGAGATCTTCTTGGGCTCCTGTGGGAGGCTCCTCGCGGCTTCAAGGCCGGACAGGGGGCCCGAGGCAGCCGCAAAGAACGCGAGAGCGCTGGGAAGAGCACGCACGGGGAGCTCGCCGAGAGCTCGTCAGCAGGAACTTAAAAGTGGCTCGTTTTCCCGAGGATATGTCTATTTTTCTCCTCCTCAGACGCTCCTGCCGGCGCGTGTTGGAACGCTCTTGGGCCATCTTGGGCGCCCGGGGAAGGCTGCTGAGCTTCCAGGGCGCCTGCGGAGGCATCTCGGAGCGTCTCGGAGCGCCCCAGGAGAGTTCGAAGAGAGCCCGGAGGAGGCCGCGGAGGGCCGGAAGAGGACCCCAAGGCGCCAAAAGAGCCGGACAGGGGGCCCGAGGCAGCCGCAAAGCAGAAACTTCCAAGTGGCCGGTTTTCAAGAGAAAATGTGTTTTTTTCCTCCTCAGGCGCTCCTGCCGGCGCGTGTTAAACCGCTCTGGGGCCATTTTGGGCGCGCGGGGGAGGCTGCTGAGCTTGCAGGGCGCCTCCGGAAGCATCTCGGAGCGCCCGAAGAAATCCCAAGAGAGCCCGGAGGAGGCCGCGGAGGGCCGGAAGAGGGCCCCGAGGCGCCAGAAGGGCCGGACAGGGGGCCCGAGGCAACCGAAAAGAACGCGAGGGCGCGGGGAGAAGCACGCACCGCGAGCTGGCAGGGAACCTCGTCAGCAGGAACTTGAAAGTGGCTCGTTTTCCAAAGGAAATGTCTCTTTTTCCCCTCCTCAGACGCTCCTGCCGGCGCGTGTTGGAGTGTCTTGGGCCATCGTGGGCGCGAGGGGGAGGCTGCTGAGCATCCAGGGCGCCTCCGGGGAGGCATCTCGGAGCGTCTCGGAGCGGCCTAAGGCAGCCTCGGAGCCGCGCTGGAGTCGACCAGAGCTTGCTGGGACGCCCTGGGAGGGCTCCGTAGGGGCCGGCCCGCTGCCACTGCGTTACACTTTGGCGAGCGGTGAACGCTGCATTGTAGTAGAGACTAGTGTGAACCCGTGGAAAATCCACGGCCCGCAGGTCCAGGCGTTGGTCCCGAACTCGCACGTGTCGCCGAAGCCTCAAGTGACCCCCAGCAGGGCCCAGCACAGCCGCAGATGCCGCCCACGGGCGCCCAACGCGAGGTCCGAGACGGCCTCTCACCCCCAAGATTGCCCCAAGCCGCCCCACGAGGCGCCCGACCCAAGAGGGCCATCGTAACCGATTCAAGCCGGGCGTGGAGGTCTCAAAAAGCATTGGGTTTTCGCTAATCGCGCCCGGCCTCTCCGCGATTAGCGAAAATCCGAAGGTTCTGGCCATTCCACTGCGCCAGGATTGGCCCCCACACGTACCCCGAGGCCTTGGACACCGCCCAAGACGATCTGAGGTTCCCGAGGTTTCGGCCCCCCAGGGCCCTGCATCGATACAGCCAAGGGTGCGGGTGCTGGGATACGTAGGGCCCACGAACCGGCTGTAGTGGCCTGCGGGCAATCTCGCCGCGGGCCTGGGTAATGGGCAAGAGATCTCGTGGATGTTGGTTGGGATCTCGTGGTTGGCCTCTCGGGAGCCTCTAGGAGACAGTTTGGGGGCTTCTTGGTAGCAGTTTTGGGGCGTCCTGGGGCCTCTTGGGTTCTCTTTTGGGGCCTCTGGGGAGCCTTTTGGGGCGCTTGGCGGCCTCTGGGGGGCCTCTTGGAGCCTCTTTGGGGCGTCCGGGGGCCTCCTGGGGAAGTCTTGGGAGCGTCCCGGCGTCTCTTTGGGGCGTCTTGGGGCTTCCTGAGGGCCTCTTAGGGTGGAGGCCTCGATTTTTCGGTTCCGGGTCCCTGTCTTGGGCCTCTCTTGGGGCCTTCTTGGGGCCCTCTTGGGCCGTCTTGGGCGACTCTTGGGCCGTCTTGGGGCCCTCTTGGGCCGTCTTGGGCCGTCTTGAAGGCCTCTTGGGCCGTCTTGGAACGGTCTTGGGGGCTTCTTGAGCGGCCGTGGAGCGTCGGACAGCCGAAAAAGCGAGAAGGCCAGAAACATTGAAAAAAGCGAAGAAAATCAACGATGTTGGCTTCTGCGGCCCCTCTTAGAGGTGCACTTCGAGCGCTCTGGGGGCCTCGCGGAGGCGTCTCGGGCCGTCTTGAAGGCGTCTTGAAGCCATCATACGCGTCTCGGATACACTCTTAGACCGTCTTGGGCCGTCTTCGGGACCTCCTGAGGCCGTCTTGGGGCGATCTGGGAATCCTGGATCAGTCCGCAAGCGGTCCGGGGGCCTCCCGGGCCCGTCGGCAGCAGCGGCCCGGAGGCTCTCCGGGCGGCCCGCGAGCTCTCTGGGCGGCCCGGGGCGCTGCCACTGCTTGTACTTCTCGCGCGCGCTTCGCCCCGAATTGTAGTACAGAGGATGAAGTCGGGCTCCAGCTTCGCCTCCCACATCTCGCTCAGCAGCGCCAGCGCCCGCTGCCACTGCTCGCCCTTCTCGTACGCGCTGATCCCAGCGCGGTAGCTGATGACGTTGGGCTCCAGCTTCGCCTTCCGCATCTCGCTCAGTAGCGCCAGCGCCCGCTGCCACTGCTCGCCCTTCTCGCACGCGCTGATCCCAGCGCTGTAGCTAACTAGGTCTGACCCGTGGACTACGTCCAACATCTGCTCGAGGTGGCGAGCGGTGTCTGGGCAAGCGTGCTTGCTTCTGCCCAGTGCCTTTTACAGCCGCTTGCTGTTGCTGAGTGCTGCGTGTTGCCCACTCGCAGCTTTTCGGTTTGTCTTTCTTCGGTGTTTGCCGCTTCATTATGTCGCTTCTTGCTGCTTGATCCCGACCTCAGCCTGGAGCCTTTGCAAAGGAAACAAGAATATCCCAGAGCGACCCTACTTAGGAGTTGGAACCCCGAGGAGAGCAATATTAGTAGTAACGGTAAACGCCGTCCTCCTCCTTCTCCTCATCGTCGCAGTTGTAGCAGTAGCGGTAGTAGTAGTAGTAGTAGTAGTAGTAGTAGTAGTAGTAGTAGTAGTAGTAGTAGTAGTAGTAGTAGTAGTAGTAGTAGTAGTAGTAGTAGTAGTAGTAGTAGTAGTAGTAGTAGTAGTAGTAGTAGTAGTAGTAGTAGTAGTAGTAGTAGTAGTAGTAGTAGTAGTAGTAGTAGTAGTAGTAGTAGTAGTAGTAGTAGTAGTAGTAGTAGTAGTAGTAGTAGTAGTAGTAGTAGTAGTAGTAGTAGTCGTAGTAGTAGTAGTAGTAGTAGTAGTAGTAGTAGTAGTAGTAGTAGTAGTAGTAGTAGTAGTAGTAGTAGTAGTAGTAGTAGTAGTAGTAGTAGTAGTAGTAGTAGTAGTAGTAGTAGTAGAACTAGTATAGCGTGATACCTACATCTACATCTAGACCTACATCCACATCTACACCTACAGCTACATCTACATGTACACATGCATCTACATCTACATCTACATCTACAACTACACTCACATCTACATCTACATATACACCTACATCTACACCTACATGTACATCTACATCTACATCTACACCTACATCCACATCTACACCTACACCTACATTTAAATCTATGCTATGCTATGCTATGCTGCGCTATGCTATACTATGCTATGATATGATATGATATGCTGCGCTATGCTATGCTATGCTATGCTGCGCTATGCTAAGCTATGCTATGCTATGCTATGCTGCGCTATGCTATGCTATGCCTTGCTGCGCTATGCTATAATATGCTATGCTATGCTGCGCTTTGGTATGGTAAGCTAAGCTATGCTAAGCTATGCTATGCTATGCTGCGCTATGCTATGCTATGCTATGCTTTGCTATGCTGTGCTAGGCTGCGCTATGCTATGCTGCGCTATGCGATGATATGTTATGCTATGATATGATATGATATGCTATGCTATGCTATGCTAATGCTGCGCTGCGCTGCGCTAAGCTACGCTGAGCTAAACTAAGCTAAGCTAAGCTAGGCTAAGCTAAGCTAGGCTAAGCTAGGCTAAGCTAAACTACGCTAAGCTAGGCTAAGTTAAGCTAGGCTAAGCTAGGATGAGACAAGCAACGCTGAGCTAAGGGGGCGCAACTGGGGGAACCGCGGGGCGGATACCGTGGGAACCGCCTGGGGCGCTTTCCACTGCCCGGCCCCTTTAAGCCCAGAGAGCAAGAACCCTTCTGGGCAGAGTCTAGGTAGGAAATTAAGAGGCGCATCGGCGCCTTATTCTCCTGGGTGGCCGGCGCGGATCCAGAGCTCTCGGAGGGATCTTCCCTCGGAAGCCTTCTTTGGAGCCCCGGGGCCGGCTTGGGGCGCGGAGGCTCCGAAGGTGCGAGCAAGTCAGGCTGGAGCCTCTGCAAAGGAGGGAAGAACATCAGAGACGCATCGGCGCCTTATTTTCCTGGGTGGCCGGCGCGGTTCCAGAGCTCTCCGAGGAATCTTCCCTCGGAAGCCTCTTGGAGGCGGCTTCGGGGGTGTCGTCTCGCCTCTCGAGGGTCTCTGGGGGCCTGATTTGGGCCTCTTCGGGGCTTTTCTGGGGCGTGTGGGGGGCCTTCTTTGGGGCCAGCTGGCGGTGTCTGGGATCATCATGGAGCGGAGGGCGCGAAATATCAGTTCGAGTTCCCCCTCGTGTGGTCCTCTTGGGACCGTCTTGGGCCGTCTTGGGGGGCTCTTGGGCCGTCTTGGGGCCCTCTCGGGCCGTCTGGGAGCTCTCTTGGGGGCCCTGGGGCCGGCTGGGAGCGTGGAGACTCAGAAAAAGCGAAAGCGCTGAAACCCTTCAAGAATTCAAGGAAAATCCATCATTTTAGCATCTCGGAGCCCTTCTTGGGGGCCTCTTGGAGCCCTCTTGTGCCGTCTTCCTGCGCTGTGGGGCCTTCTGGGGCGTCGGGGGAGACTCTTGGTGGGCAACTGACAGTTTCTGGGATCATCCTGGAGCGGAGGGGGCGAAATGCCACTTGGAGTTTCACCTCGTAAGGCACTCCTGGGGCCGTCTTGGGGCCCTCTTGGGCTGTGTGGGAGCTCTCTTTGGGGCCTCTTGGGCCATCGTGGCACGATCTTGGGGGCCCTGAGGCCAGATTGGAGCGTGAAAGCTCCGAAAAGGCGAAAGCGCTGAAACCCTTCAAAACCACGCGGGAAATTCATGATTTTCGCCTCACGGGGCCCGTCTTGAGGGTGGGGCCCTCCTGGGCTGTCTTCTGGCACTGTGGCGCCTTCGGGGGCGTCTGGGGGGCAGCTGGCGGTGTCTGGGATCATCCTGGAGCGGAGGGCGCGAGAGGTCAGTTCGGGCCCCCCCTTGGTGGGGTCCTCTTCGGGCCGTCTTGGGTCGTCTTGGGGGGGCTCTTGGGCCACCTTGAGGCCCTCTTGGGCTGTCTGGGAGGCCTCTTCGGCCGTCTTGGAGCGGTCTTGGGGGCCCCTTGGGCGGTCTTCGAGCGTCGGGAAGCCGACAAAGAGAGACTACAACAAACATCGACACACTTATGAAAGTCAGCGATTTTTGCCATTCGGAACCCGCTGGGGAGGCCTCTTGGAGCGTCTTGAGACCTCTTGGGCCGTCCTTGGGCCAATCTTGGGCGTCTTGGCTCGATCCTTGGCGTTGTGGGGCACTCTTGGGCCGTCTTGGGGGCGTCTTGGGGCCCTCTTGGCCCGTCTTCAGGCTTCCCTGGGCGGCCAGGAGCGCCCCGTGGCCAGCCCAGAGCGGTTTTGAGTCACTGGGTCCTGCGTCCCTCTGGCACGCGGCGCCCCCGGCGTTAGAGTATAGATGACGTCGGGCTCCAGCTTCGCCTCCCGCATCTCGCTCAGCAGCGCCAGCGCCCGCTGCCACTGCTCGCCCTTCTCGCACGCGCTGATCCCAGCGCTGTAGCTGACTAGGGCTGACCCGCGGCCTTCTGGCCGCGGAATATGCCCGCCATGGCGTGGACGTGGAAGAGAAGCGTCTCTGGGCGTTGCCTGGAGCATCCGCCTCGCGCGGATGCGCGCCTCTCAGGCGTGCTGTTTCGGGGGCTCTCGCAAGCGGAGTGAGTGGAAAGAAGTTGGAGGAGTACGAGGAGGAGGAGGTGGAGGAGGTGGAGGAGGAGAAGGAGGAGGAGCAGGAGGAGGAGGAGGAGGAGGAGGAGGAGGAGGGGAGCAGGGGGGGGGAGGGGGGGGGAGGGAGGGGGGAGGGAGGAGGAGGAGGAGGAGGAGGAGGAGGAGGAGGAGGAGGAGGAGGAGGAGGGGAGGAGGAGGAGGAGGAGGAGGAGGAGGAGGAGGAGGAGGAGGGGGGAGGAGGAGGGGCAGCAGCAGGATGAGGAGGAGGACGTGGAGGAGGAGGAGGGGGAGGAGGTGGGGAGGAGGAGGAGGAGGAGGAGGAGCAGGAGCTCACGGAGGCCCCTGAAAGGGCACTGGTGCCTCGCTCCGCTATCTTCGACACCTCTTGGAGCGCTCTGGGGCCGTCTTGGGGGAACCTTGGGCCGTGTTGGGAAGTTCTGGGGGCCGTATTGCGGCCCTGCCGGGCCGTCTTGGGCGGCTCTTCGGCTACATGTCTTGACGCTCCGTCGGGCCGGTGTGGATCCCATCCCCTGTGGGAGCCTCCTGGGCCGTCTTGGGGCGGTGTCGGGGGCCTCTTGGGCCGTCGTCTACGCCGTGAAACCCGGAAAGCCGGAGATGCTGACATGTGTACAGTTTCCGTCGGGGAAGCGATAATTGTGGCCTCCTGGGGCCCTCCTGGGAAGCCTCTTCGGCGTCTCTTTGGCCGTCGTAGAGGCGTCTTGGGCCGTCTTGGCGCCGCAAAAGGCAGTCTTGGCTTGTCGTGGAGCGCTCTTGGAGCGTCTTGGGGATACGTTGGGCCGTCCTGGGAGCCTCTTGGTGTCGCCGTGGGGCCGTTTTGGGCGCCTCTTGGGCTCTCTTGACGCCCTCTCGGGCCGGTTTTCGTGTGTCTTAGGGGGCCTCTTGGGCCGTCTTGGGGCGGTCGTGGGGACCTTGAACCAGCTTCTGCGCCATATTCCCGACAAGCAGCGCATGCTAACATTGAGCGTTTTTCTTAGGGAAAACAAGGATTTTCGCCTCTTGGGGCCATGCTTGGACGCCTCTTGAGAGTCTCTGGGGCCGTCGTGGAGGCCTCCTGGGCCGTCTTGGGTTTGTTTTCGGCGGTCTTGGGCTCTCTTGGGGCGCTCTTGGGCCGCCTTGGGGGTGTCTGGGGCCGTCCTGGGCGCCTCCTGGGAGCCTCTTGGGGCCGCCTGGGGGCCGTGTTGGGCGCCTCTTGGGTCTCTTGACGCTCTCTCGGGCCGGTTTTCGTGCCTCTGGGGGGCCTCTTGGGCCGTCTTGGGGCGGTCGTGGGGACCTCTTGTCCCATCTTCTGCGCCGTATACCAGACAAGCAGTGTACGCTAAGATTTGACGCTTTTCTTTGGAAGAGCAATGATTTGGGCCTGTGGGGGCCATGCTTGGACGCCTCTTGGGCGTCTCTGGGGCCGTCGTGGAGGCCTCCTGGGCCGTGTTGGGTTTGTTTTCGGCGGTCTTGGGCTCTCTTGGAACGCTCTTGGGCCGTCTTGGGGGTGTCTGGGGCCGTCCTGGGCGCCTCCTGGTAAAATTTAGCGTTTTTCTTTGAAAACAATAATTTGGGCCTGTGGGGGCCATCCCGGGATGCCTCTTGGGCGTCTCTGGGGCCGTCGTGGAAGCCTCCTGGGCCTTGTCGGGGCTGTTTTCGGCGGTCTTGAGCTCTCTTGGAGCGCTCTTGGGCCGTTTTGGGGGTGTCTGGGGCCGTCCTGGGCGCCTCTTGGACCGCGTGAGCGCCTCTGGGGCGTCCCCGGGGCCGTTGTGGGGTATTTTAAGTAGATCAAAACAGGGACCCTTCCCGCACGCGCGGGTCCCTGCACTGTAGAAAAGACTAGGGCTGACCCGCGGCCTCCGGCCGCGGAATTTGCCCGCCCTGGCGTGGACGTGGAAGTGGAGCGTCTCTCGGGCCTCGCGGGTAAGGGGAGGTTGGAGGGGACGGCGTGTATGGAGGAGGTGGCGGCGTCAGTGGACGCACACCCATGTAGGCATGACGCGGTGTGGACAGAAGCTGTTTCTGACGCCGCAATCTGTGTTCATCATAGCTTCTGCGGGGAAGGTAGCCGTGAGAAGCTCATCTGCTCTCCGACAGGGCCGAATGATAATTTCATCTGGCAGTGGGGTGACAATGAGGCCAGTGGGCGCGGCCGAAGAGGCCCGCAAGAGGGCGGCGAGACGGAACTTCCTAAAAAAAGGCCCCAGTGCGAGGGCACGGATCGGCTTTTCGAGCGCACCTTCCCAAGACGTCCCCAATAGCGCAAGAGTGCCTCCGAGGGCCACTATCGCATACTGTAGGCCCGCTCTAAGCGCCAAAGGGGCCTGCGGAGCATTTTTCTAAGGACAAATGTTTGTAGATCCATGTGGGGGCCACTTGACAGGGCACGGTGGCGCTTTTTTGTCGTGACGACGACGACGACGACGACGACGACGACGACGACGACGACGACGACGACGACGACAACGAAGACGGCAACGGCGACGGCGACGGTGCGGCTACGGAAAGGGGCAAAGGGGAGGGGGCCCCAGCGGTTAGGAGCGTTCAGAGCGGTGAGAACGGCGAAGACCGCCCAATATGGCGGGGGTCGGAGCGGTGCGAATTGCCGAGATGGCCCAAGATTGCTGTGAGAGGGCCTCCGAGGGCCACTATCGCATACTGTAGGCCCGCTCTAAGCGCCAAATGGGCCTGCGGAGCATTTTTCTAAGGAAAAGTGTTGTGGATCCCTGTGGGGGCCACTTGACAGGGCACGGTGGCGTTTTTACCTAACACAGCGAAGACTTACAAGTTTCTAATGGTCTCAAAAGAGAGCATCATGACTCCCCAGAGGGGGAATCCGGGGACTCCCCATTTTCATTGCCAGGAACTGCATTTTGACTGCCCGGAGCGAACGGAACACCACTCCCAGGCCACATTTTGAATGCGGGGAGCCAGCTGTGGGCCACTTCGTGTTCTTCGTGCTCCCAGAACACCATTCCCAGGCCACATTTAGAATGCTCGGAACCAACTGTAGGCCATTTCGTGGTCTTCGTGTTCCCAGAACACCACTCCCAGGCCACATTTTAAATGCCCGGAGCCAACTGTAGACTACTTCGTGTTCTTCGTGTTCCCAATGCACCATTCCCAAGCTAATTTTGAATGCCGAGCCAACTGTAGGCCACTTCGTGTTCTTCGTGTTCCCAGAACACCACTGCTGCACCATATTTTGATTGCCCGGAGCCAACTGTGGGCCACTTCGTGATCTTCGTGTTCCCAGAACACCAGTCCTGTGCCATATTTTGAATGCCCGACCTGAGTCAGGCTGAAGCCGAGGCAAGCTGAAGCCGAGGCAGGGTGAGGCTGAGGCTGAGGCGCGCCGAAGCAGGCTGAGGCTGAGGCTGAGGCAGGCTGAGGCTGAGGCAGGCTGAAGCTGAGGCTGACGCAGGCAGAGGCCGAGGCAGGCTGAGGCTGAGGCTGAGGCAGGCTGAGGCTGAGGCAGGCTGAGGCTGAGGCCGAGGCCGAGGCAGGCTGAGGATGAGGCCGAGGCAGGCTCAGGCCGAAGCAGGCTGAGGCTGTGACTGGGGCTGAGGCTGAGGGCGAGGCAGGCCGAAGCTGAGACAAGGTGAAGCTGAAGGGGGGGGGGGGGAGGCGGGGGGGGGGGAAAAGGGGGGGGGGGGCTGAGGCAGGCTGAGGCCGAGGCAGGCTGAGGCCGAGGCAGGCTGGGGATGAGGCTGAGGCAAGCCGAGGCAGGCTGAGGCTGAGGCTGAGGCTGAGGCTGAGGCTGAGGCTGAGGCAGGCTGAGGCTGAGACAGGCTGAGGCTGAGGCTGACGCAGGCTGAGGCCGAGGCATGATGAGGCTGAGGCTAAGGCAGGCTGAGGCTGAGGCCGAGGCAGGCCGAGGCTGGGGCTGAAGCAAGCCGAGGCAGGCTGAGGCGGAGGCTGAAACTGAGGCAGGTCGAGGCATCCGTAGGAATCCATACGAATCCTTGGGAATCCGTAGGCACCCATAGGAATCCTTAAGCATAGTTAAGCATCCTCAGGAATCCTTAGGAATTCTTAGGATTCCATTGGATCCTAAGGCCGTTGCCAGTGCGACTGTCATTGCGAATGCGACTGCGACTGCGAGAGCAGCAGAACTCTACAACTGGATTCTCACCTGAATCTTAAGGGGAATGCTTCCGTATATGCTTATACACATCGCTATTAGGTTGCTTTGCCGGGATAATTTTGTCGCGACGACGGCGACGACGACGACGACGACGACGGCGACGGCGACGGCGACGGCGACGGCGACGGCGACGGCGACGGCGACGGCGACTGCGCCCCTACGAATTTCCTTCTGGGCGCAGGCGACGGCGACGACGACGGCGGCGATGGCGGCGGCGACACCCCCGCGCGGCTGCCTTGGCACACGTGGCACCGCAGGGTGGCCTCCAGGTCGGCGTGCAGCAGGACGGCGACGACGACGACGACGGCGACGACGGTTCTGGGAGTTCCCGCGCACCACGTCGTCGAAGCTCACGGACGAGTCCGCAACCTCTTGTGGGAGACGAGGCCTCGAGGTGTAGTTGGCACAGGGCTGTCCTGGCAAGGTGCAGCTGTCTGATCGCATTGGGCTGTCTTGGCGCCGTCTCGTAGTACTCTCCTGGGGCTCTCTTGGGGACCTCTTGGGGGGTCTTGTCGGGGCTCTTTTGGGCCCTTTCAAAGCGCTCTGGGGCCGCCCTGCGCCGTCTCCTGTGGCCCTCCTGGGGCTCTCTAGGGAGCCTCTTGGAGGGTCCTGTCCAAGCTCTTTTGGGCCCTCTTGAGGCGCTCTGGGGCCACTCTGGGGCCTTCCGGGGCCGTCTTGGGGGGCACGGGCCGTCTT